TAACAGTATTCTCCCTCGCGCCCAGTTTTTGAGGTGTTTATCCCCTTTGGGCGCCCGTGAAATTTCCTTTTACATTTTCTAGTCGGCAATTTCACCTCCTTGAAAGGGTCGTTAGAGTGCAGCAATATTCCACCCTAGATAGAAAAAGTACCTGAAAGTGTCTCATGGGTTTTTGGCCCCCCTATTTTGAATTTTTCTCATTATCCATCCTGTCTTTTTCTAGCAATGCGTTGATACAATGTTAGGGTCCTTGAAGGTGAATCCCCCGACAAAATCACTCCCAAGTTTTTTGACGTTGGTGTTTCGCTCTATTTGGGCCAAATTTGTTTTGTACCGATGAAGATTTAAATTTACCTCATGTTTACCATATCCTGAGTAATTGAAATTTCCTCGTTGAACTTCAATTTTTTTCCCCCCGCAGCCCACTGAAAGTTTTTGGTTATGTCCGCCTGGACCCTTGCATTCTGAAATGGAAACATGTCATGAATTCGGGGTCACTGAAAAGGAAGACACGGTGCTGGGGGCGCATCCTTTCTAGGTCGGGAATTTACAAGGATGTCCCGCCACAGCCCGGTCTTCCTTTTCAGATGACCCCGAACTGCATGCAGCGCTTTTGACTCCCTTTTAGAAGGGGTGGGTATTCGGCCACCCGAGGTCATCCTTATTAAGAGGTATTAAAAGCTCTGGACAAGGGAGAGTGGACCTAATAGTGACCATTGAAGAGGTGGGCCAAAAACGTGACTCGACCCCTGCAACCAAATTAAATGAATTAGGCGAGTGAAAACACACACACACCACACACAACACACACGTCAGTGAATACTAACAGAACCAGGGTACAACGATTTCACCCTTTAATAATACGAATATAACAGTAATTACTTTGAAATCCGAAGAGGCGAGGAGTGAATGTCAATTTCCTTAAAAGATTTACCCGAGTAACCTGGGGGGTGTTCCGTGGGCCAAAGCCTCGAGGTCTGGTCCGTGACCATTTTTATAATCAAAAAAAGTGCAAAACCCACCAGGGTCTACAACCGCAAGGGAGGGTGGCAAAACGAGAATTTGTAAGGGCGGGAGGGGTGCAAAGGAAGTAAAATCTTAGTTTTTTGTAATAAATTTGTTGCTGAAAAGTTAAATGGGGGGTCTGTCAAACTTTGGGGGCCCCTCGCGAGGGGGGCAGAAAAGTAAGGTGTTAGAGCGGTGACAAGTTGGCGGTAAATTCGCTTGCCGGTAAAAAGGACAGTTCAATAGAATTGGGGAAACTGAAACCGGAACCAACAATTCAAAAAATGGAAATGCGCCCTCCCAAGAGAACCCATATGAGAAAAAGCGTATCTCCGACACATCAATAAACCAGAATCCTAAACACGCTTGATAAAAAAATTTGCCATGATCAGCCGGACCAGTATTTTCCCCGCGGTGCGAAGGGTAAGGAACTGGGGCAGGGGCGGTTTCGAATTTTTATTAAATTTTAACAAAAGAAGCCTAAGCCCCAAGGATAACAGCGCTGCAGGCAGGAAGAAGCGAGGGCACAGGGGCAAAAGGAGATGGGGGAGTAATAGTTACGGATAACACGGGGTATGGATGGGAAAGGTAAAGGGGAGCAAAAGACTGACAAAAGGGGAGGGGGGGCAAAAGTATCATAAGTTTGTGGGGGTAAAACATCCCTTTCAAGAATCAATGAAGGGGGTCAGGATTAAAGGAGGGGCATCACAAGAAGGGGAAAGGGAAAGAGAGAATAGAACGAAGACGACGTTGGGGGTAAATTTTGCGTCTCGTTGATAGAGAGGGCAGTCATCAGAATGTGCAACGATACTGGGAAATTGAACTGCTCACAGAGAGGACAGGGGGCTAGGGGGCTAGATTACAGCAAAGCAGTCGAAGAAAAACTTTAATTAAAAATGGGAAATATGCGGTTTTTGTCCGTCGATTCACGGGCCTCTAGTCATCCCGGGGGCAAAATTGGGGGGTCGCAGACGATGTCAGGCCCAAACCGCGTACGAAACGTTTCCTCGTG